ATATTTAGTAATCTCAAAAAGGAGCACTTCCTATAATCCAGCATTTTCACTTACAGGTGTAACTCACACTAAAAGTCTCACAAGTGTACAAGGAAACATGTAAGGATGTTCACTGCGACACTATTTAAGTAAGAAATTGTGCAACATATTGTAAACAACCTCGTCGGTAGGCAATGGGTAAATTAACTGGTGGATTCATATAACGGAATGATTTGTGGACCATAAAAGCATTTAAGATAAATGTATTAGACATGTATAGGTCAAGGGTATATCTGAAAAACAACACTGTATTAAAAAAGTAAGTGCAAATGTTACAGAATATGGTATAAAATGCCCCCAAAAAAATATGTGTAGATAGCAAATACCTCAATTGCATGAAAGTGGTAACTTGTAGAAAGGGAGAAAAGGAGAGAGGGAAGAGGAGTAATGTCTTAGATGTTCCTAGAACATTTTATTCTTAAGAGACACACAGAAATAGAGATGTATCTGAAGCAAATTTAATAAAATACTAACAACTGTCAAATTTGAGTGGTGGATAAAAAGGTGTACAAATTTTTATCTGTACTAAGAATTTGGTATATTCCTTCATTTTAAAAAAGAATTTATGACATTCCAACAACTGCTAATTCTGTTTTCCTGTAGGTAGTACAAAACAGAATATGTTTTGTATGACCCAATTAAATCTACAACTTATTCCATGCTTATATGTGCAAGGTACTGAGTGATGTTAAGTAGGATACAAAATTTAAAAGAATTGTTCTCAAATATTTTCCAGTGTAGTACAGTCACAAAATTCACCATCAGATTATCAGCCAGAGGCTTTATCATTAGTTTTGCTCTTCTTGCATACAAGGCATTATTCCAAAAATATGACATTTCCATGATAAAAAATATAGAGACCACTGCTTACTGTATCATACCAAATCTGTTCATTCCAACCATCATGGCAAGGTCACTTCACCAAGCCTGCAATTAATGGCACAGTTATAACTACAATTTCAGTTTGGGACAGTCAGCAACTTGGAGAAAATGACTCTTGCTTTTACAGACTGACTAGTATGAGTGCACTTAAGATCTTACATTCTATGGTCTCATCAGTCAACAATATTCATAATATATATGACCTGTACGTCAAGTCCAGAAGGTAGTAGATTGCTAAAGATACATTTTGGGGGATTTGTGATATTGGGAAGTAAAACAGGGTAAAAATCATGAGAAGCTCTTACACTCTGCTAAAATCTATTTAAAAAATTGGGTAAGCAAATAAAAAGCAAGCATCCGAGAAGAGGCGGGCAGGCACTCGTCCCCAAGATGCGCCGTCTCTGGCGCATACCCGGCAGCGGCAGCCTTGCCCTTGTGCTGGTTTCTCGCTGCTCCGAACGCCTCCTCGGAGCCAGAACACACTGGCTGCGGCTGATCACGCTGTGAGACACCTGCACTGGCTACTGGGCCTGTCATGATGCACAACACCCTACCATCTTTAGCCTGACATTGTGCAAGTTGTAATTATTCATCCCGATGGGTATGTCAAAGTGGCAGCGGCAGACCTCTCATCAGAGCAAAAGGAAAATACATCAAAACATTACCAGCCCAGCAGGAAGACAGGGACCATAAGGGAAATTACCCATTTTTAATATGGATGCCACAAAGCCATGCCTATTATTTTACAAAAAGAAAGGAAAACAAAGATCTTCCAAGTTTAAAGTCCAGAAAAACTGAATCCAGAGAGGAAATGTATAAAAGCAGATAAGGAATATTTTTAAAAATCAATTATCTGGAACCTATTTATGGTCTCTTAAATACATGTTTGCTACTAGACTACAATAGTAACATTTTGCTTAAGAAACACAATTGTTTAAAAATTGTTAAAAATGAAAGAAAAATAACTACCACAAGCAGAAATGTTTCCAAGTCAATGAAGAGATAATACACAGCAAAGTCTGACACTGCTTACTTTCAAAACATAAACTAATACTGCCGATACTCATGTCTAAAAGACACGAGAGTTCATACCACTGGTAGCACCACCAAAATGGTTACAATGTACAACTAGACTCCTGAAATAACAACATATTTTGAAAGTTTTCTGAATTTCAATGACATAAGTTAAAGAAAAACTGAAATCACCCACAGACCACAAGTGAGACACATCCAGATTCAATGAGCATATATACAAGACTAATACAAATGCAGATTCCTATTTCATACTTAAGTACTTAAATATGAAAAAAGTACAATTTTTAGAGTCAACTATAGGAGAGTATCTCTTCAGAGCAAGATATGGAAGATTTTCTCATTCAAGACATGAAAAGCAGAAATCACAAGGAAGAGAATGATAAATGTGAGCACACTGAAAGTTTACTAACAAAATATATCATATAAAAAGATATGATCACAGGAAGAAGATACTTATATTCCATATAACCAGCAAAAACTTAATATCCAAAAATATATAAGAAACGCAACTAGCAAAAAAATGAGTATCCAAAATATATAAGGAATGCTTATAATAAAAAAATATTTAAATAAGCAAACATTATAAACAATAATAATGATTATTAATCTTTGATAACAATTAAGGTCAGACTAAAATCAGATGAAGACTTGGAAAGATTTTGGGAAAGGAATTACTATGAATTACTGGGTAGCTGTATAAACTTACACAACCAATTTGGGAAGGGAATTTGGCAATATTTAGTAATCTCAAAAAGGAGCACTTCCTATAATCCAGCATTTTCACTTACAGGTGTAACTCACACTAAAAGTCTCACAAGTGTACAAGGAAACATGTAAGGATGTTCACTGCGACACTATTTAAGTAAGAAATTGTGCAACATATTGTAAACAACCTCGTCGGTAGGCAATGGGTAAATTAACTGGTGGATTCATATAACGGAATGATTTGTGGACCATAAAAGCATTTAAGATAAATGTATTAGACATGTATAGGTCAAGGGTATATCTGAAAAACAACACTGTATTAAAAAAGTAAGTGCAAATGTTACAGAATATGGTATAAAATGCCCCCCAAAAAATATGTGTAGATAGCAAATACCTCAATTGCATGAAAGTGGTAACTTGTAGAAAGGGAGAAAAGGAGAGAGGGAAGAGGAGTAATGTCTTAGATGTTCCTAGAACATTTTATTCTTAAGAGACACACAGAAATAGAGATGTATCTGAAGCAAATTTAATAAAATACTAACAACTGTCAAATTTGAGTGGTGGATAAAAAGGTGTACAAATTTTTATCTGTACTAAGAATTTGGTATATTCCTTCATTTTAAAAAAGAATTTATGACATTCCAACAACTGCTAATTCTGTTTTCCTGTAGGTAGTACAAAACAGAATATGTTTTGTATGACCCAATTAAATCTACAACTTATTCCATGCTTATATGTGCAAGGTACTGAGTGATGTTAAGTAGGATACAAAATTTAAAAGAATTGTTCTCAAATATTTTCCAGTGTAGTACAGTCACAAACTACTTTTGCTAAGTGGCAGAATATAAATGCTTTAACCATTCTTTTATGGAGATGCAAACTTTATCACAGATTAAAGTCCGGGGAAAACTTGTGCAGTTCACTGCATTCAAAACACTAGAAACTAATCAAATATATGTTCTTCAATTGTGGGATTTTGATAAATATTAAAGTTTTGAGATTGCATATCTGGAAAGAGTAATACAACTGAGGTATAACATTATCTCATGATCTCATTATCTCAAGATCTCATGATCTTACATAAAAGTTTATAGAGCCAAATAGAAAATGTATACTACAAAACAAGAAAGGTATACGATTTATACACAATTCCAATTTTTTTTTAAATCACAGTATTTCTTAGATAGTTATAACATGTATCAGAATACCAAAAGGAAACAAAGTATTTTCTCGCCTTTAATTTGCTGTATTTTCTTAATTTCCATTGGGAGGTAGGATACTTTGTTTTTAAAGAAAATGAGAAAAATAATTTTCAAGTATGTGTGTATAATTAAAATGACATTTGAACCTTTACAAGACTATTTAAATTCTTTTAGGCTTTTTTAAAAACTAACTTCATATACAAGAAAATTAAGCATAGTTTAAAATATAAGCATAAGTTTTCACTTGAACCCACCAAAATTTTCTATTAAAAATATGGGTGCCTCCATTTAAAGGATATTTGTAAAATATCACTAGGAATTTTTTTTCTCTCTGCATAACAGAAATGTTCCCTCCATTTGCTATCAACTGCCACAATTATTTGATGAAAGAAGGATCACATCTGTCATCATCAGATTGTTCTTTAAATTTAATCACCATTCTGCCAGATCTTTAAAAGCCACATACACATGTTGATAACAGTACTACTGATAATTACACCTTATGCCTATATAATGTTTCAGTTTATAGTGCACTTCTAAATACATTATCTTGTTAGATATCATTATTGTATTGAGAAATTAAATTGACAGGAGCAAGAGAAACAATCTCCTATATCCTTTACTCAAAGTATGAATACTCCAAAGCACATACAAAAAGAATATAGTGTAAGATAAAGGAAGAACTAAGAACACTTGAGAACAATAAAACTGAGTGGATATAGCAGGATTTATATTTTCAGTAATACCTCATTCTCCTCTGAAAAAGACTGTCTGATACTATGTCATTAATGTTAAAAGTTTTAGGAACCTGAAAAATTCCACCCAATTTTCCACTTACAACTCATTGCTTTACAAAGGCTTCTTCACGATTTAAATGGAAATTTCATCAATGGAGCTTCATGTTTATCTAAACTGAAGAATAAAGACCTAAAGGTTGAATATGCTTATGTTTGTGTGTGTGGAGACAGAGAGAATAGACATTAACTACTAGGCAATATCAAAGAGGCACTCTAGAAGTCCTGTTTATAAATATATGTTTAAAGAAAACTGGAAAAAAATCACTTTATATAAAACACATAATGCCCACTTATGAGTAAACACAATATGCTGTATCACTATTTGAATTTAAGAATTTACCTGTGGTGTCCAGGAAAATGAAAATGAAACAGGAAAATCCACAAAACAATCTGGTGATTCTGTAGGGTACTATGAAAAAGCATAAAATTAGTCCATTTTTGCTTCTGTGTGACAATTTCACATGAAATACTCTGAAAAAACTGAACATATAGGAAAAATATTATAAATTCAAATTTATAACATATAATATTTTGATTCTAATATTCTAGAGATGTCAAGAGATGGTTAGGTCAAGTTATACTCAGGAGGTACAAAGTTTGATGATTTGGGGGTGCCAAAGCAATCAGTCTTGAATAAAGAATAATGAATTAAATCAGTATCAGGTCAGCTGCTAATGTGATCTGAGGGGTAAACCACAATGGATCTCACTTTATATTTAAAATGAGAGATCAAACTCATTGATATTTAATTTCTTTTCAGTCTAAAATTTAATTCTAAATAGTCTCAGCCATTAATTAAAGAGGCAGTGTCTGTTAAAATAAATCAAGAAATACACAAAAATTGATAGATTCAATTTAAAGAAGTATCTTCCACATTAAAGCAATTACTTTCAGCAAAAGATAAATAAAAAGAAACAATGAAATTCTTTCTGGCTTATTAAGGAAAAACAAAACAATAGTTTAAAGAAAGTCTTTTCATGACTGATTAAAAAATTCAAGTTTTATACAAAGAAAAATGATAGTCATAAAGACTAATAAAATAGGTGTCTAAATTAAAGATAAAAGTAGTTTTTCTTAAAATCAAATTTATTTTGTTAGAGATTTGTACTACATGATTTCTTTAAAACCCAATTCTACAATCTTAAAAGTCACATGTAATTGAAAATACCCATTTCTTTCCTTTGAAAAGCAAAACTTACTAAATGAAAATTAGTTGTAGGAAAATTTTCTCTCATTTGACTCAAAGTTTAAAATAAGTTTTAGACTCTCACTTTTTTTAAGCCTCTTATATTTCAACTTCACTAAATAAGAAGGGACAAATAATTTTCACTGTAGTATTTAACAAACATCAGCCCCTTTGAAACTAATGGTTTGAAAAGAATTAACATTTAGTCATAATGAATGGCTGGCTAAAAAGAAACTTATCTACATTCGCTCTGCTGGTATCTGGCTATGTAATACCGAAAATACAAAATTTCCTGGCAAATATATAGGAAATCATATAGAAATATAATGATGCTCTAATTTGGAAAAAATAAAGAAAGGCCAGGCTGAGACGAAGGAGGGAGCTCTATTTCAGACAATTCAAAATACCAAATGAGGTAGTTCAGAGTATAATTGCTGTAATCACCAGAAAAACAATTTGTACACCATTTTACAATTCATGTGATTATCTTAAAGTAAATGCAGGCAGATACGTTAGCTTTCTCTGGTTTCCACCTCTGCTAACTAACTTAGATGATCTTAAATAAGTCATTTAATGTCACTGGCTATTTTATATGTAAAAATGATGGAACCCACCAAAGAGTATTGTAAAATCTCTTTTCCCTCTAGCATGTTAAAATTCTGTAAAAAGAATGCATACTTGAAACATCCATGGGTTAAAAATGGAATATTTAGTTCACTTTGAGTTGATGTTATTTATCTCCTACTGAGGCTGACAATGAACAATATCAACCCTCTAACTTAAGCAAATCATCAATCTAGGAGAGAATATGAAGTTAATGAGAGAAATACAGTAAACGTTTACTGTATTTAAGTAGATGAAACCAAGCAAAATATCTGTCACTCTGGAAGTCATTAAGTACATTCAGCAGATTTTATTAAAAGAGAATATAACCCTGCATTTAAATAGGATACAGTATAGTAAATGGTACATATGTACTGACATAGAAAGAGATGCACTGAGAGTTTAAAAAGCAGGTTATAACAAATATAAAAAGATGCACATACATAAATGAGTTCTCCAGATAGTTTCTGAGATACGTTTCCAATATATTTTATGTGTAATTATGCAAATATACAAATATATATATAATAAATTATACTGACCTATATGTAGGTGGCTTTACTATATAAGTGTGTGTGTGTGTGTGTGTGTGTGTGTATAAATCATATTCAAGATCAATTTTGTTACATAGTAAACTTTACGTTACTGTATAGAACCTAAAAAGCACAAGTTTATTTACTTCTGGATGATTCAACATAATTTATGAAGTAGCATCCTAAATAATAATTTCTAAAATTGCTTGTATTATAGTACTAACTACAACATAGATAACTAAATGCAATATTGTAAAATAACTTCATCAAAATTCAGAGTTTTCAATAGTAAGTTGTAGAGGTGTATATAAAATCACCAGACACCAACTGCCAAAAGTTTTACTTTAAAAGTCTAATTAACAACATCTAATTAACAAAAATCTCCATATAAAGGAAAATCAATTGGAAAATAATTACTTTCAATTAAAATAGTTTTTCAACTTTCACTCAAAACAATTCAAATAAATATAAATGAATATAATTATATATTAGATATATATTTTTGTCACAATATTTTTAGACTCTATAGTACACTGTTCTAAGGAAAATTTTAACCCAACCTCTTCTGTGATTGGACCGTTTAACCAGTAAGGCTCCCCACAAAGTGAATACATACAAATTGCACATTAAAAAAATGGCCATCAGAGATAGTATGCCCAGCTTCCGAAACACATCTGTGATTTCTTTTTCAAGTGGCTTTGATCTTGGACAAAGCTGAGGAAGCCTTGGGCTATTTCTTTATTTTAAAGATAGTAATTCCATCCCACAGTTCAGGATGTATTATACATACTGCATAAAAATGTACCTATAAAAACTAAAAAATTCAACTGCTTCCCTTATTATATTTCTTTTTGATTTATATATTTACTTTTAACAGGTGATATCTAGCTAAAATTGGTTTTGTTTCCTTTGGGTTTTTTGAGATGGGGGTGTGTGGCAGAATTGGGTGAAAATATATTCAAGAATGTATTCAAGAATAAAAATAGAATGCATTTCTTTACTATATATCAAAAAATATCACAGAAATAAAGGTTTGTGTATTAGGAAAATAACCCTGCTTTAAGGTTAAAAAAAAAAAGCCTGCAGCTTTAAAATTTAGTTTGGATTAAGATTTTGTTATAAGACTCTTAACAGACAGTCTTAACTATCACTATTTTTAACTGACAATACCAGACCCCCATACTCCTAAAAAAATTAATTACCACATCTAAAACACAAGTTGGTCTCAATGGCAACTGAACTAAATGGACAATTAAAGACTCTAACAAATCATACCAACATAAGACTCATTCAGTTACATCTGTCTTTTTCTTTTCCTAAACAATCTGATTTTCTTCCTAATTCAAATAAAGTTTTCTCTTCACTCTTGCCAGGGCATCCCTTACCAGTGCTTCATAGCTATCGATGCCACAGAAACTGATACTTGGAACTATTCTCCAAAGATAAATTAAAAGTGTTACCTTCATCAACCTTGAAAAAGTACAAGAAAAAGACAGAGTGGACTATACTATGGCTACATCCTCACTCTCAATACAATCAATAATGTCATTAGCCAGAATTAATAATAAATTCTTGTAAGTGTAATTATAGGCAGAGTAGACTTAAAGCATGATCTCCTTAGTAAGTAGAAAAGCGTGTAAAAAATGAGGCTATTAAAAAACACAACTACCACCCAGAATCAGGACAGGATGTACTTAAAATTTTTCATTTTGATCTTCATAGGAGCAAAGCCACTTTTATCAATGTACAAAATATTAACAAAACTTTGAAGGAAATGACAGTACCCTTGCCCCTGGCAGTACATGACCTTTGGACAGACTTCTCCCTGATCTTAAACAAAGCACAATTAAAATTAAATTAAAAAGGAAAATAAATTTTCATTTTAACAAAAACACCCATCTAGCCTCTTTCACAAATAATATTTCTATCCCACTAATTTCTTTTCAACATTTATCACATATGAGTCTTAAAATTATACCTAAACGCTGTGTAAGATAAAAAGAATTATTCATTTCTCAACTTGTCTGATATAGTGGCACTATAAGATAGCAACCTCTCTGTGTCACCCAGTACAGTTTATATATATTAATTTTCTCTCATGGAAAGCTTAAATGCCAGACACACTTTTAAAAAGGACAAACACAATTGATCTTTTCATCATTACAATCTTCTGAAATAGAGTTGATTGATGACTCCTAGGAACAATAAAAAAATTAGATGTCCTGGTTTCTTAAATTCTAATGTTTCCCTAGTCATTACTAAATAAATGACTTATATAAGAAACTTGGCTGTTCTACTTATTTCTCAAAATTCACAATCGAGAACCAAAAATAAAGACAAAACAGCTATGTTTGGTGTTAATAACATTAGTGAATAGTTATAGATCACTAGCCTGTAAGGACTCTATAAACAGAGACATTACATTTGTAAGTTTTTAAAGTAAAAAAGTAAAAAAAATTCAGCAGAAGAAAACAAATGATAAAAAGTATGCCTACATGAACGTCTGTGTTGTCGGGGTGGGGAGGTGTTCAGAAACAAGAACTACAAACGGAATTCATAGTAAGAGTTGAAGACAAAAGACTTATTCAGTAAAACTTTATTTGGGATAGTGGAAACTTGCAACTCTTTTATATAGAATGTTACAAAAATAACATTATGGAACTTTGAAGCTGCCAAATCATATTTATACTATTTCTTTATTATGAAGTCTGTATTTTGACCAAATTTGAACTAAAATAATGAATGACATGCAATTATATCAGGCTTCTGGAAACCTGATGAGTAAAATTTTTGAGAATTTCCAAAGTAAGTTTTTAAAAGCATCATTTATTATTTTTTTTAGAAGCATCTAGCACTTTACATTGAAAACATTCACAGAGTTTATTTCATAAAGTTATTCCTGACCACAGTAACAGTTTAATGGAGCACATACCTTCTCCTTCAACTTGAGAGTGATTAGATGCTCTCTACCAGAAGCATCTTCGGCTTTTAACTTGATTGTACTGAGGCAGATATCCACATACACAAGCCTAGTGAGTAAAAGGAATAAAAAATGGTAACACTGAAGAGAGTGGGAATGGAGGGAGGGGAAAGCTGGAGAATGGCAGGATTCAAAATGAAAATATTTGCTATATTCCTATTAATCCATTACCAACATTAATCAAGAGGAATATCTGCATGCCAGCCCTTTATGCTGCTATAGATTTACCGCTGTTAATAAACCAGCTCAGTGCTTAATGCAGTCATAGATCTCTGGATTATTTACAATGTGTGTCAAGGCTCATGCTGTGGTCAGTGAGCACTATGTTTCGGTTTTCCATCACCGGAACCTTTGGCACACACAGCATGTTCCTGTCAGCCTCTACTTATGTACACATTAAACTTCCTGTCAAACTCTTTGATCCATTTCTGTAGTTTCATACAGTATGAGACTTTTATGCTTCCTTTATTTGTTTTTCTCTTCGATGAACTTTCCTTTATTATCAATAATGTAACTGTACAAAAATCTAGCTGATATTAGTTCATATACTCAAATTGATCCTGTAAGGAAAATGCTGTACAAGCAAGCAAAGGTACAACCTAGTCTGTTAACCATAAATTCTCTTTTTGTGCGATATAGCTTCTGACACTTAAGCTGGCCATGTATTCAAAATGACTAACATTTTAAATATATAGCACAAGCACAATTGTTTTGGCTTTAAGTTGCTGTAAATGCATGAATTTTCTACAAGGGAAACCAATACCCTTTGAAATACATCATTCTGTAAAAATACGGTCCCTTGAGTAGCATAAGCTACTGCCAAAAAGGTTCAAATTTAGCAGTATATTTACTAGTGAACTGGGCATGTGGATATTTTTTGACATTTTTACAATATAATTCTCCTGTAAAGACAAAAAGTAGCCTAAGAATATTGTATAGTTTATCACCCAGATGGATGGTAAGACCCATTAGAGTTCAGAACTAACATTAGCCTCCTAACCTAGGAAACATTTTTTAACGTCACTACGTGCCAGTTAATCACTGGCCAGGTATAATGGTAAAATGGGTCAATTTCAAGAAATGCTGGGCAATAAAGTTGTGGAACACTGTAATAAAAAAAAAAATCTGAAGAAGATACATATCTTCAATAATAGAATAAAAAGTAAAACAAAACAATCTTTATCAACAGATGAAATTTTTATCATGATCTATAAAAAGTCTAGAGTCTAAGAAAGCAAATGAAAGTAAAATTATTCTAGAAAAAATATTTATTTACATGAAGATAAATTATTTTATATATATAATCATTATTTTCTTTCATCTATAGTAGTAAACACCTCAAATGTCCCTCCCTGCCAAAACTCAGAATATGAGACTTTATCACCTGTTTTATTGATATGACTCTAAGATTCAGATATATAGGCATCTGACTCTGAAAACAACTTCAGATTCAAGATAGTGTGATGAGCACATTCATATCCTTACTCTCAAAAAAAAAAAAAGGAATTTATGAAAGTGTACATAAACCCACAGTTACAAAAAGAACAAGAAGGAATAGCATTTCTAAAGCACATTTTCAATAAATTTTATAAAAATGGAAAGTAGTTAGAAGAGCACGAGCTGACAAAACAGATTAGGAGAGAGAAAGATGCTGGCTCCAAGAGGGAAATGGCAGGAAAAGCGGTATGTAGAACTATGACTTATATACATAAAGAAATTAAGGAGGTTTTTTTAAAATACAAGAAAACCAAAAAAGGGAGGAGGAAATTTTAAACTAAATTATAAACAATAAAGCTATATTGAAAATTGTAATTGCTTTACCATTAGGCTTTCAGTGAAAAATATTTATGAAGTCATAAAAAATTTAACTGCTTACTAATTACAATTTTTAGAATCTAGCCATGGACAAAGCTAAAAAGCTTAATTGTAGTTACAAAAACTAATGAAATATATTTGACCATTATAATTTAAAAGGAAGAGATGACAAAAACCAATAGGTAGAAAGGGTAAAGATATGAGAAGGAAGATTAGGAACATTAAAATTTGTAATTGCTAATTTGAGAGTAAGACATACTATCTTTAATTGCATGGACATGAAAGAAGTTTAAGAAATATTAAAGCTAACAGAAGAATAAAATAATAGTGAAGGGAACAGAAGATTGTATATAGTTAAATCCTTTTTTATTATACTACTCAGTATATAATTCCTAAAAGTAATAAATCAAGCAATATTGAATTTAAACAGATTATTTAGAAATAAGCAAGTTGTAAACATGAAAATTTCAGAGTGTCTATCACAAAGAATAAGACCAGGGATAGGAAATGGTATGGAAAAAAGCTGTTTTTTTCACTAAACTCCAAATCATTTATGACCACAATAAATGTATGAAAAGAGAGAACAAGAAGGGGTAGGAAAAAGAAGGAACAACTAAATCACCAACTAGTATTTCTCACACTTCACATTGCTGCTCAGCATCAAAATGTTCAAAATCATTATTGAACATTTATAAAATAAGACTGAAGTAAACAAGTTTTCTGTTTGCAATTTCACAAACAAAAGATTATCATCTTTCCACAAAGTTTAAGGCATAGAGGTAACACACTGGAGGAAAACAGTGCCATGCTCAAAATATGGCCTTAGAGTCAAAATGACTACAAGTCGCTTTCGTTAAACTTTATTCAAATAAATAGAAAATAATATCTATAATTTCAGGTTAATCTCAGCATGGTCATTTAAGATTAAGCATTTTACCCATATCAATTCCTGTCTACTTTGTTGGGGGAATAGGAAGAAATCTCATTGTAATTACTAACTCCTTAAGTACATGTGACCTAACATTGATTACCAAATATCCTCTAGTATTTATTCTCACCTACTTCCATTTGCTAACAGCTCCCCTTCCTCCACAGAACCCCAATTAAATCAAGTTTTAGCAGGTTACACTTCACCCAGCTGCAACTCTTCCAGCTGCCCTTGAGTAATAACATAGTACTAAATTTGGGCCAACAGAATGCAAACAAAAGCATTGTTTGGATCATTTATAAAATATCTGTGCCTTCCCCTGTTGCTGGCTCCCCTCATTTTTCCTTCCTGTAGACTAGAACTTAAGAGCCAATAAGAGCCAGCAAAGACCATGCAGACAAGAACAACACTCTTACTGCAGCTGTAACCAGTAACATTTTGCAATGAGACAGGTATTCTATGACTAAACTAAGTAGTAGCCACAGTCACATGTAACTATGAAGACTTAAAATATAGCTACTATGGACACTGAATTTTTAATTTAAGTATGAATGTCAACAGTCACATTGTTAGTAACTACTGTACTGAACAATGCAGCCACAGTGGAAGGTTGAGGAAACCAAAGAAACCTGGGCTCTTGGGTAACTTTGTGGAATAAAGCCACCAACTCATTCTTGATCATCTGCCTACCTCTGAACTGTTAAATGGGAGATGAATAAAATTCTACCTTGTTTGAAACATTGAGGATTTGGGGTTCTTTTTAATACCTATCCTATACCCTGATATAACATATTCTCTCTATTCATGGCAGGAAAAAATATATTAGCGTTTGGTCTATAGAAGAGAAAAAAAATAAGTGGGGGAAAAATAAGCTCTTACAAATAATATCAAAATCAGTTTTTCTAAAAATAAAAGTATCCATCAAATGCTCTGCTTTACTGTTAATTGGGTATCTTCATGGGATAAATAATTTTTATTCATTTAAATAAGATACAATCCATATAAATAAGAAACTTATGAAACCAATCAAAAAGCTCAAATTTTTGTTATGAAATCACACAATATTTATATTTAAAAGTAGCTGAGGTGCTATAATAGCTAGGTGTATTCTAAAATTGAAAGAAAATACAAAAACATGCTAAGGGGTAAAAAGATGGTAGAGTAGGAAGGCAAGGCGGAAACCTTCCACAGACACACCAAGGATGCAACTACAGCAAATACAACTAACCCTGAAAATGACCTGAAGACTGCAGAACAGTCCACCTACACTTGGTGAAGAAGAGAAGACCACACAGAGAAGGATAAAGTGGCAGTGCCATGATCAGGACACAGCCCTTCCCCAATCCCACCCCACAGGCTGAAGAGGAATGGAGCAGGGAGGGGATAAGCACTCAGGAACTCTGCACACTAGGCCCTGGAGATCTGCTCTGGGAACACGAGTCCACATTGCATCAGTTTCTGATGATTATGGGCTGGATACCAGGGATAGTTGGAACACTCTGGGAGGATGAGACTCCTGCCACTTGTAGAGAAGAAGCACACTCCACCAGTCCAAACAGAGACCACACACAGAAGCAGAAGTTTTAAAGAGTTGCCAGATGTAGGAAGGGTGCCAAGGGGGGAGGGTTGGATGGAGCTCTCTATGCAGGAGAAAGGGCAGTGGATGACACTTCACCAGCCCTCCCACAGCCCAACTGGTAAGGAGCTCATGGAAGCCCCAAACGCTCCATCGCTCTCCTTAGCAACTCACCCCAAGGCACTACCCTGTGAACCCACCCACCAGGTCCTGCTCAGCCCGTTTAGTCCAGCAGTGTCAGACTTTGCTGCATGGCAAGACCAAGAAAGCCTTCCCTACTGCAGCCCAGCTGGGAAGGTGCCTGCAGGAGCCACCAGCAGCCCACTCCAGTGCTGCACACCCCACAACCACTCACCTTCCCAAAAGCAATGCCCCTACCCCACCCACCCTCTTAGCCCAGCAGTGTGCCCATTGCTTCAGGGCAGGCAGAGGGTGGCCCTGCCCACAACATTCCCAAAATAAGTGACTCTGCTGGACTTACAAAGGGCTGACTGAGACAAACTACCATCTGTGACAGACGGAGATAGACAGACAGAAAGGTGGCCCTGCCCACAGCCCACAAATAGCAATGGGGCTCCACCACAAAGGAGAAGCAGGCAATGGACAGTAAAGAGTCTTGAGTTTCTGGGTACCATAGGATGCCTTCTTCACAAAGCAATTACTCTCTAGACCAGGAAGCATAGCAGATCCATTTAATACAGAGGAAGGAACACAGAAACCCTGACAAATA